CAGGGGTGCGATGAGGTGCAGCGTGGTGTACGTGGCTGTAGGAAGATGCAGCGGGGTGCATGTGGGTGCAGTGGGGCACAGGAGGACACAGAAGAGCGCAGGGGAGTGTAGCGAGCTGCAGTGGGGTGCACATGGGTGCATGAGAGTGACTGTGGGTGTAGTGGGGTGCTCCCCACAGCCCCACTCATGCCCTGTCCCCTCCACTTCTCTTCCAGGGAGAAAACCTCCTGTACTGCTTCGAGGCGGCACCTGCGCAGCCAGCGCTCACCCAGGGTAAGCGGGATACATCCCACACCAGGTTCCCAGCAGCCCCAGGGGCCTCACCCCTGCCTGCGCTGCCTGCGCTGCCTGCGCTGCCTGCGCTGCCTGCCCCACAGCCGCCCTGCCCATCCCCCAGTGACCCAGTGCCGGACAGAGGGCAGCACACGGGGCCTGGCTGCTGTGCCACGCCTGGCCCTGGACGTCATGGCCTGCGAGGTGCTCCGCATCCTGCAGCTCACAGACACCGCCCTTGTCCCTGTCAGCTACCTGGTGCCACGCAAGGTAAGGGATGGCTGCGGGTGGCACTGTGTAACGGGCACCTGTGCCATCTCATGGGTGACACCTCACCGGCACTGGGTGACAAAGGGCACCCAGGTGTTGGGGGGGATCCTGGTCCCCAGCCTGGGGAGAGCAGGAGAGGATGTAAAATCTGGGTGCTGAAACCTGGGTGCTGATGGTGGGTCATGGTGTCTGGAGGGTGGGTGCTGGGAGCTGGAGGCTGAAATCTGGGTGCTGATGGCAGGTAAGGGAGGTTGAAACATGGGTGCTGGAGTCCGAAACTTGGGTGTTGATGGCAGGTAACGGAGGCTGGAGGGTGGGTGCTGGAGGCTGAAACCTGGGTGCCGACGGTGGGTAACAGGCTGGGTTTGCTGGGTGCTAGATTTGGGAAGCTGGGTGTTGCGTGCAAGATGCTGGGTGCTGGAGAGTGGAAACTGAAAGCTGGGTGCTACCTGTTGGGTGCTGTTGTGTAACGGGTGCTGGGTGCCAGATCCAGAATGCTGGGTGCCTAAAGCAGTTGAAATTTGGGTGCTAGGTAGTGAAGTCTAGGTGCTGGAGGCAGGATCCTGGGTGCCAGATCCAGCACGCTGGGTGCTTAAATCTGGAAGCTGGGTGCTGAAAGATGGGTGCTGGGGGAGGGTGCTGGAAGGGGCGATGCTGGGAGCTGAGTGCTTTTTCAGAGGCTGTCTGCATTCAGGGGTGCACAAGGCAGCCCAAGGCCGGGCAGGGTCTGACACCTACAGGCATTGGTGCGCAGCTTGCGGGGATGGGGCTCCACGGCTGGAGGGGCTGGGGTGCTCAGGGGTGCCAGGGGGTGCCCAAGGGGTGCCGCAGCCCAGGTGATGCCAGCTGGAAGCCAGACAGGGGCTGTGGGATTTAAGGGACACCCACCTCACCCCGTCCCCTCTCCTGCAGTCAGTCCAGGACTTCCACGAGGATCTGTTCCCTGACAGTGCCGGGATGCTGCCAGCCACCGGCGCCCAGGCCTGGTGGGCAGGGGACAGCCAGCAGGTCAGTGTCCTCACTGGTGGCATTGCCAGGGGCTGCTGCTGGCCCTTGCCCACCGCTCTGCCCCCCAACAGGTGGGGAGGGTGAGCCTGCACCCCGCACAGAGACCCACAGAGACCTTCACCTCCCCTGTCATCGCCTGCACCCAGCTGCAGGCAGCCGACGACACCGGCCCCACCAACACCAACTGGAGCGTGAGCACGGGGCGTTGGGGTGACGAGGGGTCGAGGGGCCCCCCACCGCCCTTGTCCCCCAGGGAAGGAGGAGGGCTGGGATGCCGGCACCCCCTGCCCACCTGCTCTCTCTCTCTGTCTCTCGTAGGAGGGCAGTGGCTACTCCTCACCATCCTCGCTGGCCTCACCGGGCAGCAATGCTACCTCCCTCTCGGCCAGCACCGGCCCCTCCAGTGGCTTTGCCAGCAGCCCCAGCCAGAAGTCACTGCAGAGCATTCTGGGTGAGCAGGCGGTGGGGTGGATCAGTATCCCCTAGCTGGGGCCATGCTGGGGGAACCCGGGCACTCACCCATCCCCTGCCTGCACCAGGGCCCAGCTCCCGCTTCCGGCACACGCAGGGCAGGGTGCTGCACCGCGACACCCACCTCACCAACCTGCGGGGGCTCAGCCTCACCACGCCGGGCGAGTGCGACGGCTTCTGCGCCAACCACCAGCGCGTTGCCCTCCCCCTGCTCTCCGCTGGCGGCCAGATCGCCATCCTCGAGGTACCCCCGGCTCAGCGTGGTGGCTGGCACGGCACTGGCGGGTGCAGTGCAGGTGACCCCCCTGGTTTTCTCCCACAGCTCTCCAAGCCTGGCCGTCTCCCTGATGCAGCAATGCCCACCATCCAGAACGGCTCAGCAGTGGCCGACCTCTCCTGGGATCCCTTCAACCCACGGCGCCTCGCTGTCGGTATGTGTGCTGGCCACGGGGGAGTGTGCTGCGCTAGCTCCCCTGGCACCAGGCATGCCAGACCCACCATACTAACCACTGCCCATCCATACTAACCACTGCCCAGCCGTACTAACCACTGTCCATCTGTTTTGGTGCCGTAGCGGGTGAAGACGCCAAGATCCGGCTGTGGCGGATCCCCGAGGGAGGGCTGAGGGAGACACTGCAGGAGCCTGAAGCTGTCCTCCGAGGTGAGGGGTGCGTGGGGAGGGACACTGAGAACCCCACTGTGGGGACAGGCCAGCCCAGTGGTGTCCACATCCCAGCGTGGGGGGATGGCCACGCACCACTCAACCTTACCAGGTCACACGGAGAAGATCTATTCCATCCGCTTCCACCCCGTGGCATCTGATCTCCTGGTGTCCTCCTCCTACGACATGACGGTACGGATCTGGGAGCTGAGCGCCGGGCAGGAAGCCTTGTGCCTTCGAGGACACACCGATCAGGTGAGGGATGACATGTCTGGGGACACCTGAGGGGTGCGTTTCACTAGGCAGGGGACATGAGGGAGGACACAATATCCATCTCCCCAGATCTTCAGCCTGGCTTGGAGCCCTGATGGGAAGAAACTGGCAACAGTGAGCAAAGACGGATGGTTACGGCTCTATGAGCCCCGGCGCAGCCCTCAGCCTCAACAGGTACGGTCACGGTGGTGGGGGTGGGCTGGAGAGCTGGGGATGTGGACAGGTGCCCCCCTCCAAGGGTACCTGCCCGCACCTGAGCTCTCTCCGAGCAGGCAGGGTGACCTTCACCCCACGCAGGAGGGGCCAGGTCCCGAGGGAGGCCGTGGAGCACGCCTGGTTTGGGTTTGTGGCGGCGACTACCTCCTGGTGTCTGGCTTTGACAGGTAAAGAGGGGGGCACACATCTGGGCAGGGGTCCCCAAGGGACACTGTGCTCCCCCCATTGTCACCTCCCTGCAGCCGCAGTGAGAGGAGGATCCTCCTGTACCGGGCGCAGGCTCTACCTGAGGGACCCTTGTCCGTCCTTGGCCTCGACGTGGCCCCGTCCACCCTCCTGCCCTTCTATGATGAGGATACCAGCGTTGTTTTCCTCACTGGCAAGGTGATGGTTTGCCCCTCAAAAAAATTGGAGGACTAACTGCCTACAGCACCCCAACAGTGCAGGGGGGACCCTCCATGCATCCCCTGCCAGCCCTCATCTTGCTCTATCCTCAGGGTGACACCAGAGTCTTCCTCTATGAGGTGATACCTGAGCCCCCCTATTTCCTCGAGTGCAACAGCTTTACCTCCAATGAACCCCACAAGGTAAAGGGGGGGCCCACTGGGATTGTGCTGCCTGTCTGACCCCCCAACTTGAGCTGCCAGACCCACAGTAGGCCCTGCTCACACCTCCACCCCATCAGGGCTTCATCTTCCTGCCCAAAACGGCATGCGAGGTGCGGGAGGTGGAGTTCGCCCGGGCGCTGCGCCTCGGGCAGAGCACCCTTGAGCCGGTGGCTTTCCACGTGCCACGTGTCAAGGTAGGTGGAAGGGACCCAGCCGTGTTTGGGGTAGTATTGACGATGGGGGACGCCCCCTCAATGCCCTTTGCCCCCACAGAAGGAGTATTTCCAGGATGATATCTACCCACCAACCCGCATCTGGTGGGAGCCAGCCCTCATTGGCAGCGCCTGGCTGGCAGGGGAGGATGGGCAGCAGCGTCGTGCCAGCCTGCGGCCAGCCGACATGACACCAGGTGGGTGCAGAGGGGCAGGGCAAGGGCCCCGGGCCCACGGGGACAGGCATGGGGGGGGTGTCAGCCGTGGGGCAAAGCCCTCCTTCCTGCCCCATGGCAATGCTGCTCCTCCAGTGAGTGAGGCCCCAAAAGAGGCTCCAGCGCGGAAGTTTGTCCCTGCATCCGTGTACCTGGAGGAGAAGTCTGATGAGCAGAAGAAGGAGGAGGTTGGTGCTGGGGCACCCTGGGAGCACCCTGCTGTGGGCCTGGGCTGGAGGGGCGATGCCCTGGGCCCCACGGCTCTGCTCTGTCTCTCTGCAGCTCCTGAGCGCCATGGTGGCCCGGCTGGGCAACCGGGATGACCCGCTGCCCCAGGACTCCTTCGAGGGGGTGGACGAGGACGAGTGGGTAGGTGCAGGGGCAGAGGGTGACACGGGGCCAGTCCCGCCCCGCCGTGCCCCTCACCCCCACCGGGCCTCCCGCAGGACTAAGCCGGACCCCGGCACCCCGAGGACCATGTCGGGGGTCTCTGCACCCGTGCGGGCCCG